TGATAAGCTGATAACAGTGATAATAATATGATCTTTTATGTCATTTAGCTATTTAAACAACTTCAAATGATATCACTTTAAGACTTTTGATTGTCATCACGTCAATAATATCATTTTAGCAATTGAAAAACTATTCAAATGTAAATATTTTATTTCATATTTTAAACATTTAATCATATTCCTTTGTTACTTTAAAATTTTTAAAAGTTTCTACACAAACGATCGTATACCGCAATAATTCCGTATCATTTTGAATTCCAATTTTCAGGAAATCGATTACATAGCATTTATTAACCAAACCATGGTCCCCCGAAACCGCCGTGAAATCCGAAACCGTCATGAAATCCACCCCAACTTTCCCAACGCCTTCGCCAGAAACGTCGCCTTACTCCGTAACGAGGCCCAAATGGATGCCATGGCATTCTCCAGCCATAGGGACCAGGCCATCCATTATAATGTCTACCCCAGGCATAGTTGAAGAATGGAACGGATATGAAGCCAAAGTCATTAACGCCGTGAAATTGCCGCTTATTTCGTTTGCTAGAAAAAATGAGTAAACTTGAAGCATAATAAAGTAATACTTAATTTTATTATTTCTATCAATATTTGAAGAAAAAATAAATTGAAATTTTGCGTGGGAAAAATTTAAATTATAACCTTATTGTATTAGCATTAGATGATATTTTATAACATGACAATAACATTAGATTTATAGAAAGTATAATAATGACAAGAATATGTGACAGTGTTTTGGAGGACATCTGAAAATTTTTCTTTCATTAATTTGAATTGGATCAAATTCTAGAAAAAAAAAAAATCATGATCATTTGACCTTTATGAAATTTAAGCGCTCTTTTAAGCTCGAGAAATTAACATTCAAATTGTCATAAGTAAATTTTGAGTAATTCATTTAGTAATATTTTAATTTAAGCAACGATTATTTAGCTCAAACTTTTATTGTTTCATTGCAGTAAAAACGTTAATGTAGCAGCAAATTTGAAATATTTCAATTCAAAAGTAATATAATTTAAAAATTTTCTGCTCTTTGTTAACATTTTATTAGCTTTTTTCTTTTTTTTTTAATTTTATTCATTTAGCTTAATCTTTAGTCAATTTAGCTTAACAATAACCTTTGCTTTCCTTTCTTTCATTTAAATTTCAACAAATAAAATAATAAAATATGCAAATTCTTTACAATCCTATGATTTTGTATCGATCATAACGAACAGAAAACGGATTATTTCAGCAAAATGAAATACGAAAAAATATTTTTAAAATAATTTTATGTATAAGATGACTTAATTTCTAAATTTTAAAAGGTGAACTGATAAGAATATGTTTGTTTACAATTAATTTGCTAAGAACTTGTTCACACACATACATTTTCATTTTGATAAATATTTGTGAATCAATGATCGATTCTGCGCCAATTTTATAAAATTCAAGTTTGAAATGGAAGTTCAGTAAATTTATTAGCAATTGCAATGATAAAAAAGGCAATTAATCGAAACAATACATTTAAGTAAAGTAAAATGAGTCAGTCACATTGATAAGTATAAGTCAAAGTCTGATTTAGATGACCTTTCAGTTACTTTCAATTCAGATGACCTTTCAATTACCAACAAAATACACAACCCCAAGGTGGACTATAACTCCAAACACTTTGCCACATCCATGGACTTTCCCATCTCGAAATGCCTTCACCATAACCCCAACCCATGTTGAAGAACGGAAATGCAGAAAATCCTCCAAAACTACCGTAACTTAGAAATTGTCGTTTCGCTCGGATCCTGAAATACAATTCCGGAAAAGTTCAGTAATCGATAGCATTTAAGCTAATTAAGCATCTCATTCATTATCTATTTTCAGTATTCTTGTTCATCAGTTAATTAATTAAATTAATTCTATTTATTTCTATGAATTAATCGCAAAAATCATTTGAAAATAACTTTTACTTACTTTATCTCTTCGTTTTGTTTACTTTCATTGGCAACGCTATCATCGATTAACAACAAAGTAATTAGCATTTCGAATATAACGCATCTCAAGAAACGTTTCATCTAAATCAAACCGATAAAATTTTGAATAATTATTTCACTTAAATTAAAATAATGAAAAATCGATAAATTTGTATACAATTCAATCGCTTTAATATAATAACAAGCAAAGGATAATTCCATTTGTCATATAATTTCAAAAAAAAAAAAAGTTAAGTAAAAACAAACAAATAAACCAATAGAAATATATGCATTTGATGGTATAAAAAACATAAACAAAACATCAATTAAAATAAATAAACAAATAAACAAAAAAAAAAAAGTGTAAATATAAAAATGCATTAATGATATCATTTAAATATGTATTTTAGAGTATTTCTTTCTTTTTTTTTTACTTTAAATTGAAATGGAACAAAATTTACAAAATTTGATTTTAGATTTTAGTATTAATATCATTTGAATACTTTCAATCAAATGAATACAATGGAGCTAGCGCAATGATACGGCGCTAATGTCATTAGCAATAATTTTTTTATAAGTTGGATTACGTCACGTATTACTCATCAGTGTGACATTCTTATTGTCATTAAAAAATTTCAAATCATTTTAGTTTTATGCGCTATTAAACATTTGCTCAAATTCATCGACAAATCTGTCAATCTTGGAGCAAAATTATTTTTTCATGAAATAATTACATAAAAATATTTTCTGGTTTATTTATCAAACTAAACTCAAATTTTAAATTTGACAATAATACGAGTTACAATGGAATTTTATGGCAATTCAAGAATTGTGGAAAAAGTAATCTTTAAATTGAAATTAAATTTCACATTGAACTGATGAGCAAATATTAATATTCAATATAAAATATCTTCTTCAGATTTCTTTTTTTTTTTTTCATTTTAAATTTAATCAAAAAGAAAAAAATTTTTTAGTCCAAAGTTTTTTTTATTTTTTATATTATTTTATTTTTATTTTTATCTTTCTAAAAACACTAATTTATTTAATTATTACTATCAAAATTTCTCTTTCTACTTTGTTTGCAATATGAATTGACCAGAAAATAATAGCAAATGTAAGTAAATAAATAATACTGAATATAAAAAAAAAAAATTTAATGAAATATTTACAACTGAAAAAAATTTATAAACATTTCTTAACTTTGTAACAAAATAACTTTTTGTTATTTTATTATTTGAAATGGTAATAAAAGAGGAAAAAAAAAACCTTTTTATTTGTTGCAAACATTAAAGTATGTTTTTTTGCAGTTTGATATTATGAATTTATTGCAATGATCAAAGAGTTAAAAACCTGTAAACAACATTTTTTGAAGGTTTTTAATTTGATAGCAAAAAAATCAATATATGGAAAAAAACGAGAAACAAAAAGTAAAGTTATATTTATTCCAGAGAAGTTTAAAAATAACAAGGCATTGAAATCCTAAAAAGTATCGAAATATAATTCAAAATGATATTTTTTTTTTAAATTATCAATTAATAGAAAAATTTATAACCCCTCCCCCCAAAAAAAAAAAAGGAATTGATCAGAAGAATATTAATTTTAACGATTTCAATTCAACATTTTGTTTATTTAACTTTTATTAGTGAAACTTAATTTAAAAATAACAAAACGTTGAAATCATAAAAGACATCAAAATATAATTCAAAATGATATTTTTTTTTTAAATTATCGATTAATAGAAAAATTTATAATCCCAAAAAAAAGGGAATTGATCAAAAGAATATTAATTCAATGCTTTGATTATTTAACTTTTATCAATTTCAAAAATTTCACTAATCAATGCTATGTGATAAATTAGCAAATACCAACTTTACAAATCTTTGAAACAACTCTAATTACTTACTTACTTACTTACTTAATTTGAAGTTTTTTTTTTTCGAAGAATGAATTAATTGATAACAAAATGATTGTCAATTTGATGGTATAACAAAATTAGAAGCTTTCAATTTTTTATCATTTTAACAACATTAACAACAGGTGATAAATTTACAGAATGAATTTCTATTGTTGTACTGTAATCCAACTGAAATTATCATTTTTGAAAATAATCATTTGCCAGACTAAAATGTTAATTAATATCAAAGATCGCAGACATATTAATTCTTCAGTAATATTCAATTTGATCAATAAAATAGCTGAGAAATAATCATTATATAAACGGGATTGTAATTCGAGACTTCAATTCAAGTCATAATTCAGTGTCCTCAAATCAACCACGAATTGCTACCAGAATTTTGCTACCAGAAAATTACAACCTGTGGTGGTGAAAAAATTTAATTCATTTCCTACCTCAGTTGTAAATTCCCGTCGAATTCCTTTCTTTATCAAATAATAATATGCATTATGATATTAGACAGAATTATCAAAATGTTTTCCGCTTCCTTTGAATCATTTTTTATAATTTCCGGAAAAAAAAAACATTACAAGAAATTGGTGCTAATTCAGGAAATTAATAAATTCAAAATTAAGCTTGAAAAATTATCATTTCTGCTAATTTTTTGTATTTGAATTCATAATTAAGAATGACAATTCTCTCTTAGATGATAAATCCAACAAAAAATTGGTGACAGAATCAAAAATTTATAAAAGTTTTGAATAAACATAAAATCTTTAACTTTAAAGTTTTGACAAAAAAAAAAAATATATTTAAAAAATAAATCCTTCGAGAATAGCCTAGTGGATTTAGAATATGCAAACTATTCTATCCAATAGTTATCTTTCAATTACAATTTAAGTAATAAGTTTGAACTTTTAAAAAATACTTTAATAAGCCAAAAAAAGAAAAAAAAAGTTTTCGGAATAATTAAAATTTGTTCGTTGTAGAAATAATATCTTATCAAAGACTTTTGCATACTGAGTGAGTGATACATTCAAGAATTCTTTTCATCTTTTAAATTATTTAAAAATTACGAATTTTTTTCATACCTTTGACCTTTAACCTTTTTTAATTCAATTCTTTAAGGAAAGTTGAATGATACAGTAATGAAACTAACTATTTTCCTCTGTACTCTTCTAGTAATACCTTTATTTGCTGAACATCAAATTAACCTGTATCCTGTGTATAACAAATTAAAGGTATGTTAGTTAATTAATTATTTCATCAATATTTATTTCTTATCAAAACTAATTAAAATTAGTTTTTCCTTTTTTTTTCAATTGCAGGAAATTTCTCATTCATTTAAATATTTCACTTCACCTTATCATTTTATTTAGCAACGTACCGGATATGCTTTAAATGTGAATATTGGTAAACCGGGAAAAGAATTCCGTGTCCTTTTGGATACCTTAACATCACTTCTTTGGGTTCCTGGAACTGATCGCATGTATGTTTCGGTTTTCCGGTTTTTTTTTTCTTTTTCCTTTCATATATTTAGAAGTAAATAATTTTTTTTCTACATATAGAAATAAATTATTATTATTTTTTTTAAAATAAATCATACTTTACAGAAAATATTTATCAAAACTAATATTTAAGTGTGATAGAGTTTTTTTTTTTTTTTTTTTTAAATTTTAAATGTTTTATTAATTAAGTAATTCTTTTCTTAGAATATCTTTGCTAAATTATAGACATCCATTCTGCTACAATAAACAATTTTATTCAAAATTTGATTCAACTTCATGTACTACAACATTGTGTACCAGTATGGCACAATGTTATGGGATAAGAGGAGTTAATTTATGGAGTTGGAATGATGATATTTTGGTATTTTTTTTACTTACTAATCAAAAATAAAAAAAAATTAATTTTGTTATAATCAGAAATTAATTTTATTCTAATTAGTAATCAAATCATTTAGTGATAAAAATTCAAAAGTGAATGAGAAAATAGCAGTACTTCCTGATAATCAAGATAACTCTAATTTTCAAAAGAAAAAAATTAATTTTTTTAATTTTACTCTAATTAGCAATCAAATCATTTAGTGATAAAATTTCAAAAGTGAATGAGAAAATAACAGTACTTCCTGATAATCAAGATAACTCTAAATTTTTTTTAAAGATTCATACATCAGATGGAAAAAGCGTAAATTTATTAAATTCACCATTCGGTACGCTGTGCTTCTTAAGTTGGCCTGAATGGGAAAATTATCAAGAAATTGATGGAATATTTGGTTTATCAGCATTGCATACTGATCGCTTATTAGAAGGCGTCTTTGGCTTTTTTCCGCTTTTAGACAAAGATGTCAATCCTCTTAAAATGATGATCCGAATGAATCAATTCCCTCCTCTTATCACTATAGCATTATCACAGGCAATAAACAAATACTTCCTTTCTTTTTTTTTAAAGTTGGAAAGTTGAAAAAATTTTATTAGAATAAAATTTATGGAAAAGAAAAACAAAACTATTTCGATTATATTTTCAAAATTTTATCTAAAATTTGAATAAGAAATTAATAATTGATCAAAACTTTTGATAAATTTCTAATCTAATGATTGTCTAAATTCTCGAGAAATTTACAATTAGCGCATAACAATATTTCGTCGATTTGTTGTGAAATTTTTCAAAAATTCATCATAAATTAGAATTAATTGAACACATTACTGTATCGTTCCCGAATGCTAATATTTAATTAAAATGTAGGAATCTGATAAGACAGCGACATTAACGCTTGGCGGACGTAACAGTATGTCATGCGATTTGAGCAATGAAAAGTATGAGCCACTTCACTTTCTCGGAAATCGTTATAATTTTCAATTTCTGGCCGTTAAAATGGGTTATACGGAGTTTATCAAATTAGGCATTACGCTTACTTATCCAAATACAATGGACCCATATATCACTGTCCCAGATGAATTTATGAAAAAAATTGCTTACGATCTCGGTGCACAGGTCACGTTTTCACGTAAAATTTTCACTAATTAAGTTTTTTGTTTCATTCATTAAATGTCACATTTTTTTTCTTTTTTTTTTTTTTTCATTTATGGAAATATTTCAGACGGATATAAGAACAGGAAAATATTTGGTAGATTGTAAACAATCATTTAATCCATTTGAAATTTTCACCGCTGAAAACAAATACATCATTGAGCCAAAAAATTTTATTATCAAACATAATGTAAGTTTTTTTTTTTAATCTAATTTAATAAAAAGTGATAAATTTATTAAATTTATCAATGTAACAGTTCAGTCCTACAAAATTGAATCAATCAATCAATCAATTATTATTACTATTAATTTTTCGATGATTGAATGAATTTTGATCTAAAGATATTTAATACTTCATTATTAGTAGTTCTTGCAGTCTTTTCTTTAATATATCATTTCCAAAATAATCTAAAAAACCTTTTTATCAATGAATTCCGGAAAAGTAAATTGTGAATTTGATATTGCAGCCGAATGATATGCAATGTGAACTTGCATTCCGAAGCTTTAGAGGTTTTGAGCAGGAAGTTATGCTCGGATTACCATTCCTTCATCAGTACTGCATGACGGTGGAAGCACGTGAAAAACGTGTTTACTTCGCTCCGATAATTTAAATCAAAATATGCATAATAGGTCAGCATTCAATGATGTAAGCTGATTTTTGCTTGTTGTTAAATCATTAATTTTAAGTTAGCATAAAAATAATTTTGAATTACGTCATTATCACTTTCATTTTTGCTGCAATTTCTATACACTTTTCAAAGTAATTTAAACACGTGAAGCACGTCACATTGAACAAATATTAAAATTGTCAAAGTTTACAATGCCAAAAATCTTTTCATCAAATTTGTGCAATTATTTCAAACAAATTTTTCACACAGACAAATGAAAATTACAACTTTACCTCTACGCTAGTGAATTTTTTGAAAAAATTTTGAAACGTTTAAATTAAATTTCAAACCACAGACCTAACCAAATTTCTTATGTTTTTCATTTAAAATTGTTAGCGAACAGAAATGAAACAATAAAATGCTGAATAGCTGCGTGAAATACACTGACCTAACTTCGCTGATTATATTTTTCAAAATTTGTTTAAAATATTCATTTTGAGTTTGCCAATAATCCATTGTTACTATGACATGTCACCACTTGTTGTCACTTGTTGCTACCTGTTACCACCTGCTATAATTCAATCTTTATAATGTAAACAATGAAATCAAAAAGTATCTCTACACCTCACTCTACCATATTAGATTTGCTGCAATATAATTCTATCCTTAAAGTTCCGTTTCATATTTGAAATGTCAGTTTAAAATTTAAAATCTTGTCATTTACTTGATAGTATGAAAATAACGATTTGTTTTTAAGATATTTGTTATTGTTGAAGCATATGAGGTACTAGCTAATGGTAGAAATTGGTGGCAGGCGGTGGCAAGTAGTTGAAGGTAGCAGAAAGTGCTGACATGTTGTGTCAGGTGACAACGAGTGATAGCAAATGGCGGTAGGTGGTAGCAACTGGTGACAAGCGGTAGCAGAGTGTATAGCAAATGACAAGTAGTGAATTCCATTAATGCGATGAAATCCTTTAGCTTTTAAATTTAAACCTAAAATATCGTGTAAAATATCATTTTCACTTCTAGTAAAATTATAAATTACCAGCGTTGATATTTCCTTCCGTTTACGTCTCCGGTTGCGTTATTTGCAACCCTATTCTAAGTTATTCCGGAATATCCTCTAATCGGGATGTCCCATCAAGTCTTTTGTGATTACCTACTACCACCTGCTACCATCTACAATCGCCTACTACTAATTCCTATCATCTAGTACCATCTGCTGCTACTTGCTACCACTTGATAGCAGGTATTTTAATTAAATCTGTTGAAATATGGTACGAAACTAAAGTGTAGTGAAAACTTAATTTATGACTTAGCATTTACATGTTCTCAACAACAACGAAGTAATTAATTGAGAGAAATTTGTAAAACCTTTATCACTTGCTACCACCTGCTACTACTTGCACTCACTTTACAAAATTCATCATGATTGATTACTTACCTGCTACCACTTGCTTGCACATGAGTGACTGGTGGTAACAAGTATTGTGATAAGAAGTAGCAGTAGATAGTGACAGGTAGCGTCAGGTGGTAGGAAGTGGTGGTAAGTGATGAAAGATGGTGTCAAGTGGTGACAGGTGGTAGCAAGTGATAGCAGATAGCAACTGATGGCTAATTCCATTAATGCGATGAATTCTTTTAGGTTTTAAAGTTAAAATATGATGAATTCCAATCCTAAAATTATTTTCAGTGCTACCAATGTTGATATTTCTTTCTGTTCGAACCATCGTGTGCAAATGATTGATCAGTTGATAGCTATCACCTGCTGATATCACTTACTACCTGTTATCACTTTTATGCTCATTGCTTTCTAGCATTGCATGCTAGAGTGAACCCAGTAAGTGAGTGAGTGACCGTATTATCAGGTAGTAGCCACTTTCTACCACTTGTCACCAGTTGCTATCACTTATCACTCGGCATCACGTACTGTCACTTGTTATCACTTGCTCACTTGCTACCACTTATCACCATCTGCACAACCTGTTATCATCTACTGCTACCTGCCATTAGCTGCGACGCAAAATCAAGCAGTAAAATGCTGAATAGATAAAAACTAACAATAAAACCAAAAATATTTTTCCATAATATTAGATTTAAAACCATCCGACTCTGTCATACATTTTTCATATTTAAAATGTCAATTTAAAATTTTAACTTTTCTAATTTACTTAATCAAATTAATTAGCTGCTTAGTATGAAAATCATTACTGAAAAGGTACTTGTTATTGTTAAAGTATACGAAGGAATTAATAAATCATAGCAATTGTTTCATAATGTTTCGAGGAGCAAATAACTTTGTGATTATCACTATCGCTTATCACTGTGGACAATTGCTATCAATAATAAATGCATGATTACATTCATAACAGCACAAGTTTACATATTTTTTTTTATAAACAAATATAATTACAATTAAAACTTTACTATTCCATTATTCATTCAAACCTAACTTTTGTCAATAACCTTAATTTCACTTTAATCTTAAAGTTGTCACATTTTAACATATTCGCAAATTTGTTACAATCTTTAATGCTAACTAATGAACAAATTTAGTTATTCTATCATTAATTTACATTTAAATTACTTTCATTGAACTTTTATTGATTTAAATGTAATATCTAAATTACATTATTTGTCAAAAGTCATTAAAAATAGGTTTTAAATTTACTTCAAAAATTTCTCGAATTTATTGGTAATAATTGAAATTAGCAAATGTGTGAGAATTTAGCACTAAATTCAATAGCTATAGAATTGGTCGTTCTATAAAAATGAAATTTTGCATTCTTTTAATTTTAAAACCAAAACTTATTGAATTCTCTTGCTCTATTAACTTACTACTTACTTCTGAGGTTACTTATCAATTATTCAAGCATTATCACTGAGATAAAATTAAGTTAATGTTTATTTGTCTTCAGAAAATACAATTGTTTACTGATTGTTTGGATCGAAAAAAATTGAAAAAATCGAATAACTCAATCACAATTATTCGAATATCATTAATTGAAGATTGTAAAGCGAGAAAATAATTTATTTCAGTGCTTCAAATTCAAACTTACGATTCATATTTTCGGATTATTAAATCCGTTTCCGTTCACTTTTCAAAAATGGTTAATGGCTTACCTGATTAGTCCATTTTTATCGGAGGCAAATTTCTTTCCTTTTACGATTATTTTAATCGAAAACAAAATTAAATAAATGATAGACTTATTCACAGCTACTCCACATATTATTATTTGAAGATTACAAAATGATAACACAAAAATTGTATGATAATGATAAAAAATGATAATTTTTATCTCTTCCAATACTTCAAATATCAAATTAGCTGTTTGCGATTTCATCTTTTAAAGAATTTTATATTAGAATTGAATTTTTGATGAAATTTATTCAAACCATTGACTTTTCAATCAGTAATTTTTTTTTCTGATCGATTTTTAAGTTTATGGAATAACTAAATTCATTTTTCAATTACTTTTTTTATTTTTCGCTTTTTTCTCATTTCTTATTTTTCTGTTTTTAATTTACAAATATTCAATTTCATCCTTTTTCCTAGACTGAATTCAACTGTTAGTGCTGTATGACTTATCGCAAATTTCAATTACTAACATTTAAGAGTTCATTTACTGAGTAAAATAATCCATCCAACCAATTTTCAAACATTTTTTTCTTTCACTTTTTATAAAAAAAATTTCATAAAGAAAAAAAATTCACTTTTTTTACAAGTAATATTACTTATCTTATATCAAATTAATTAATTATATTTTCATTCAGTGCAATCTAAAGTTCAATTTAGAATTATTTATTATGTTAATATTTCATAGTTTTCCATTTTTTTTTCCCTCCTACAATAAATAGCACACTGATAAGATAAATTTGACAATCAAATTTTATCACAGATTCAAGGTTAAGTATAACTTTTTGAAATTTCATGCATTACTGGCATTTTTCAAATGATCAGCTACAATATTTCCACATTTTTCAAAATGTTCTGCCATTATATTCATTAATTCTTGTATCGCTTCTGCAGTTCTCGAATAGTGCGATGTGAATTCTTGAATATTTTGTCGAACTTTCATTAATTGTTCCTCGTATAGTGTGTCAGCTTCTTTACTTTTTTGTTGCTTGGTTTGATCATCTGGATGTCTAGAAATGTGATCTGTTGATCAATCGATACATTAAGGATCGATGATATGGATGTCTAGAAATGTGATCTGTTGATCAATCGATACATTAAGGATCGATGATATGGATGTCTAGAAATGTGATCTGTTGATCAATCGATACATTAAGGATCGATGATATGGATGTCTAGAAATGTGATCTGTTGATCAATCGATACATTAAGGATCGATGATATGGATGTCTAGAAATGTGATCTGTTGATCAATCGATACATTAAGGATCGATGATATGGATGTCTAGAAATGTGATCTGTTGATCAATCGATACATTAAGGATCGATGATATGGATGTCTAGAAATGTGATCTGTTGATCAATCGATACATTAAGGATCGATGATATGGATGTCTAGAAATGTGATCTGTTGATCAATCGATACATTAAGGATCGATGATATGGATGTCTAGAAATGTGATCTGTTGATCAATCGATACATTAAGGATCAATGATATGGATGTCTAGAAATGTGATCTGTTGATCAATCGATACATTAAGGATCAATGATATGGATGTCTAGAAATGTGATCTGTTGATCGATCGATCGATACATTAAGGATCAATAAATCAATGATCAATAATGCAGTTAGTAAAATATTAATCAATGGGTGAGTGTTTAAAGAATCAAATGGAATAAAATTTGAATCTAAACATTAACATTAATGAATTATTTCTCTTTTTTGTTTTTGTTTATGCTTTTTTTTTTTAATAATTGCAAAATAATTGCATGAAAGGATGAAATTTACTTGTTAGCTGATTGAGCTAAGCCATCCTTATCAAGACGTCGCTTTTTCAACTGATTGATATCATCGAGATAAATTTT